CCCCCCCCCCCCCCCGCCCCAGAACTAGAAGAGTCACCCATTCCAGGGAACCAGCCTCCACTACAGACAGCCCCTCCTCCTCTGCCCCCGCTCACCCCATCCCACCAACCCAGATCCACCTGGTTCTCAGCCTTCTGCCAATGGGGCTGGATGGACACTGCCAATACCTGGGCAAAGTTGGGTCCCCTGAGGCTCAATTTATGCTTTCTGGGTTAGCTGGAGGTGGAGATTCCAAGCCTCCCCCAGACTTAAGCCAGTCCTGCAAGAAGAGCCCAGCTTTGACAAGGCAGCAGTATAATTCACCAAGCAGGGAGATAGAGTTCACAGAGAGTTGGTGATATGGATTGAACTATGTTCCCCCAAAATACAAGTTGTAAGTCCTAACCCTTGTATGTGTGGATAGGAGCCCTAGAAACAAAATGGTTAAGCACTCAGCTGCTAACCACCAGGTTGGGGATTCAAACCCACCAGTGGATCCACAGGAGAAAAGATCAGGCAATCTGCTTCTGTAATGATCCCAAACAAACAAACAAAAAATCAACCCCAGTGCTGCTAAGTCGATTCTGACCCACAGAGACCCTATAGAATAGAGTAGGTTTCCTAAGCTGTACTCTACGGGAGCCGATAGCCAGGTGTTGTTTTCTCACTTGGAGAGGTTAGTGGGTTTGAACCACCACCCTACTGGTTAGCAATCAAATGCTTTTACCACTGCACCACCAAAGCTTCTCTAGGAAACCCTGTGGGGCCACTCAGACATACAACAACATACATGTGAATGTAATCCCAGCCATTCACATAATACCATTTCTCTGTCATGGTAATGAAGCTGCATCATCAGTGTAAGGGTGTTTTTTGAGATTGAAAAGGAATGGTTTAGGCACAAAAGCAAACAAGATGGTAGGAAAGAGACGCCACGGCGCATAAAGATCACTAAGGAACTTCGAAGCTGAAAAGAGACAAGGTTCTTCCCCCATAGGAACCAACAGAGAGAGAAAGCCTTCTCCTAGGAATGCCCTGAATTCAGACTGTGAGAAAATACATTTCTGTTCTTTAAACCACCCACTTCTGGTATTTGCATTACAGCAGCACTAGAGAATTGAAGCAGAGATCTGGAAGGGATGAATGCCTCAGCCAGCACCACCCTATGCAGAGCACAGTTTCTGACATCTGACACACTTGAGCTCAAATCTAGATTCCAGCACGACCTTGAACAAGCCATCTGAAACTCTGGGTCTCCGTTTCATCATCAATGAAATGGGTGAAGTCATGCCTGCCTCACAGGTTTCTTGTAGGCTACTAATCACTGTTATTAACTGGAAACCTCACCTTGAAGTTGTCATTTTACTTAGGTCCACAATCAATGCCCATAGAAGAAATCCTCGAGAAATCAAATGATATCTTGCATTAGGCAAATCTGCTACAACAAACCTCTTTGAAATGTCACATTGAGGATTAAGGTATGCATGACTCAACCATGGTGTTTTCAGTCGCCTCACACTTATGCAAAAGCTGTACAATAAAAAAAGGAAGACCAAAGAAAAATTGATGCATCTGGATTATGACATTGACAAAGAGTACAGACTGTACCATGGACCACCAGAAGAACCAATAAATCTGTGCTGAAACTTAGTGTGGTTAGAGTGCTCCTGAGAATGAGAATGGTGAGGTTTCATCTCTCATGCTTTGGACATGTTATCAGAAGGGACCAGTCCCTAGAGGACATCATGCTTGGTAAAGTGGAGGTCCGTGAGAAAGAGGAAGACCCTCAAAGACATGGCTTGACACTGTGGTTACAGGAATGAACTCAGACATATTAACAATTGTGAGGGTGTTGCAGTTGTGGGCAGTTTTCCTTCTGTTGGATTGCTATGATTCAGAACCTACTGTTATTTTGTTAAGTACCGAGGAGTCAGTTCCGACTCATAGAGACCCTGTACAGGGTTTCCGAGGCTGTAAATCTTTACGGGAGCTGAAAGCCTCATCTTTCTCCCACGAAACACCTGGTAGTTTC